CCGCCCAACGTGCCCGCGCGCGACGCCCCCGGCCGCGGCGCCCCAGAAGACGACGGCGGCCGAAGCGGGGGCCAGCGGCGGCAGCGACACGCTGGGGCTCTGCTTGTGCACGGGCTCGCTCCTGTTCTCCTCCCTGGACGCGCGCGCGCGCGCGCCCCAGCGGCGTCGAGGCGCTGGCGGCGGCGGCTCGCCCCTGCGACGGCTGGACAGCGGCGGCGCGGCGGCGGCGGCGACGGAGGAGGAGGGGGGGCGGCAGGAGGAGGGATGTGGAGGAGTGCTTTTTTTGGGGGAGGGGGGGAGGGAGGTGGGGGGAGGGGGGGGGTGATGAGAAGAGGAGGAGAAGGGGGATGAAGGAGGAGGAGGAGGAGGAGGAGGAGGAGGAGGAGGAGGAGGAGGAGGAGGAGGAGGAGGAGGAGGGAGGAGGAGGAGCAGGACGAGAAGGAGGAGGAGGAGGAGGAGGAGAAGGAGGATGAGGAGGGAGGAGGAGGAGGGGGAGGAGGAGGAGTAAGTAGGAGGATGAGGAGGAGGAGCAGGGAGGGAGGAGGAGGAGGAGGAGGAGGAGGAGGAGGAGGAGAGGAGGAGGAGGAGGAGGAGGAGGAGGAGGCGGAGGAGGGAGGAGGAGGAGGAGGGAGAGGAGGAGGAAGAGGAGGAGAGGAGGAGGAGGAGGGAGGAGGAGGAGGAGGAGGAGGAGGAGGAGGAGGAGGAGGAGGAGGAGGAGGAGGAGGAGGAGGAGGAGGAGGAGGGAGGAGGAGGAGGAGCAGGAGGAGGAGGAGGAGGAGGAGGGGAGGAGGAGGAGGAGAAGGAGGGAGGAGGGGAGGGGGAGGATGAGGGAGGAGGAGGAGGAGGGAGGAGGAGGAGGAGGAGGAGGGGAGGAGGATGAGGAGGAGGAGGAGGAGGAGAGAGGAGGAGGAGGAGGAGGAGCGAGGAGCGAGGAGGAGGAGGAGGAGGAGGAGGAGGAGGAGGAAGAAGAGCCACGGGTGGTGATTGAGGGATGTGATGAGGAACGGGTGGAGGCGTTGCCTTGTCTTGGCTCGTGCCTGCTCGCTCCTCTGTGTTCTCGCTTGCTTCGGCCGCCGCGCGCGGCCCCGACGGACGCTGCGACCCAGCGCGGTCCCCAGAGCTTGCGGAAGGAAGGCAGCAGCCGCTTGACGGTACCCATGCCGCCAGGTCGGAGGTCCGAGGAGGAGGAGGGGATGGGGCGGGGTAGGAGGAGGAGGAGGAGGAGGAGGAGGAGGAGGAGGAGGAGGAGGAGGAGGAGGAGGAGGAGGAGGAGGAGGAGGAGGAGGAGGAGGAGGAGGGAGGAGGAGGAGGAGGAGGAGGAGAGGGAGGGGAAGGGGCGGGGGAAGAGTCGGGGTCCAGGAAAGCGCGCGGGTCTAGATCTCGGGCGTCCGCGGACGGCAGGGTGAGAGTCCACGAGGAGTCCACAGCGAGGGTCTCTGGCAGAAGCCCCAAGGCCCTCTCCAGAGTGCCCAAGGACTGTTATTGGGAGTGCTGAGGTTCGTTCGGATCCTATTAGGAATCCTGAGGGTTCGTATGTGTTCTTCGGGCTCCTTTCCGTGGATCCTTCGGATTCGGAGCATGGGGCTTGAGGTTTCGTTCAGCTTCCTCTTCGCCGTATTAAGATATCAGAGGAGTTCGAGGAGGTTGCTTCAGGAGTTGTGCTGCGATTCGCTGGGGTTCCAGATGGTGCTCCGTACGATTTCTGATGGTTCTTGTGAGGAGCCGTAGGGGTTTGTAGTAGGCTTCGTTGACAGTTTCACCGATTCTCAGTTAGATGTGTCATGACTCGCTCGGGCTCTTCCAGATTCCTTCCAGGATTCAAGCTGGGAGTCCTGAGGATTCCCGAGAATTCATTTGGACTCTTACCCGCCTTCTGGAGGATCTCCAAGGATTTTCGCTACGATTCAGAAGGTACCCCAATGACTCGTGTCCAGAATCTTGAGGAGTCCTAACGGCTCGGAGTATCTTTGCTCAGGAGTCGGAAGACTATTCTTGTCAGGTTCTTCTTCGGAAGCATTCGCAGTCCTGAGGGTTTCTATTCTGAGCCCTAGGGGTTGCCAGTTGGTGGGTCGGTTATCTGGTCGGTTCTTGAGTGGCTGGCCCGCCAGCTGGACGGGCCACATGCGTATACCCTGTCAGCCCAGAGCCATGTCGCGAGCAGTTGCCGCAGTGTTGGGCACACTTCTGCGGCCAGCGTGAATGGGCTGAGCCCCATAATGCCGCTGTTTCCAACACGGTAGATGGCTGAGCATCACAATTCCTGACTCTTCGCGCATCCCGATCAGCCCATCCATAACCATATTGCCAGGCGAGTTGCTTCGACCAGGACAGTGTAGAAGCATGCATATAACTACCGCCTTGGAAGTGTTTTCTCGGAAGATGGCCGACCTTAACAGTTCTGTCATATTCAGTTCCCAAACAGAGCACAGCACGGTGTTTGAGTCGGGCATCCGCGTCTGGGATGATGGGGGAGGGGGGCGAGGATGAGGATGATGAAGAT